ATAACTGTGTCATATGGTAGTTCCATTTCTACTTTTTTGAGGAAACTCCATACTGCATTCCAGAGGGGCAATTTATTTTTTGAATGTGGCCTTCTAGTTGTTATAGCATTGTTTGTTAAGAAGCTTATTTTCTCTCCTTGAATCATCGTCATATTCTTGTTGAAAATCAAGTGACCMTAACGTGAGGGTTTGTTTTCAATTTCCAATTCTAGTTCATTTGAAAAATACGTTTATTATTTATATCTGTCATGTATTTAAATGTGATTGATTTGTCTCTATGCACTCACACTTTTTTTCCACATGTCATTTATATGCATTCTTTAAAACACTGCATCCCTTTTTTATGAATCTTTTTTTAAGGGTTAAAAGCAAAGGTGGAGGTGGCATTGAATGCTTTCATGTTACTTCTTATAGGATTGTGATCCTTCAAGAAAATTGAAAATGGACTGGAAAGGGGAKAAAAGTCTTTTAACATTTTCTCTCCTGAACTACTGCTTGAAACAATTGCTTCTCTTAGCTCTTAACATTCTTCTAGACTCTCATAGTTGAGTTAATGGGAAATGAAATAAGAGTGCAAAATAATTACCACATTATCATTGGAATTTTATGCAGTTATAAAAATTATACTAAGATATATTAAGGATTTCAATCTGATTTTGCAATCTTCTCTTCAAAGCTTTCATTTGGCATATTCTCTAGAGCAAATTTCAAAGTTCAAATATTGGCTATCTCAAAAATTCCCATCAGAAAGAGATGGTGATCTAGATGACCACTGAAACATTAAATTTTTTTAGGTTGATTTCCAAGTATTTTATTTTATTATTGTTTTTGCTATTGTTTTTTTTTCTTTTTTAAAATTTTTATTATTAGTTGTTCAAAACATTACATAGTTCTTGACATATCATATTTCATACATTTGATTCAAGTGGGTTATGAACTCCCATTTTTACCCTGTATACAGTTTGCAGAATCACATYGGTTACACATYCACTTTTTTACATACTGCCATACTAGTGTCTGTTGTATTCTGTTGCCTTTCCTATCCCCTTCCTATCCCCCCTCTCCTCTCCTCCCCTCCCATCTTCTCTCACTGGTCATCTACTGTAATTCATTTCTCTGTCTAATTGTTTTCCCTTTCCCCTCACTTCCTCTTATATGTAATTTTGTATTACAATKAGAGTCTCCTTCCATTTCCATTTCCATGAATCTTTTGGGTGCCCAATAATGGATAAATGAATAAAGAAAATGTGATATGTACACACAATGGAATATTATTCAGCTACAAAGAAGAATGCAATCCTGCAATTCGCAGCAAAATGGATGAACATGGAGGACATTATGTTAAATTAAATAAGGCAGACACTGAAAGACAAGTATTGCATGTTCTCTCTTTATGTAGAACTTAAAATATTGACATGAAGGTAGAAATAAAGGTAGAATAGTGATCTCTATAGGTTCAGGGAAAGGTGGATAAAGGGAAGCTGGATTTAATCAATGGATGCTAAGATATGTGTGGGAATAGGACACTGAACTCCATTAATATGTACAATTGATACATATTAGTAACAATAAAAATAAAAGGTGAAAAAGAGAGTCTTGTAAAATATCATAAGTAGTTGTGGAATTTCCTGGGCCCATTCCTAATTTCAGTTTATACAATTATAATTATCTCTTAAACATGGATTATCCTCTACAATGGTGCATTTTCATTTTCTTATCTAATATATGTATTTAGGAGTTCTGAAACCATATGCACTGTACTGAGAAGAAACTAAATAAGAGATAGCAAAGAAAAACTTTAGACTAAAAACTGAACTGTCAAGAGAGAATATGTTAATATATCAAAAATTCAGTGTTTAATCAGTTCTGTCTTCCAAAAAAGATATCAAATATATACATATGTATATAAAGAAAGAAAGTTGTACCCCCTCCCATAGGCTTTTGTCTTTCAGATCCCCTTCTTTTCAGGGGAGTCTGTCTCTCACTTTTTAAAATAAAACTTACTCTCTATACTTGCCTCAGTGTTTCTCAGGTGTTTATTCTTCAACACTGAGGAACAAGAGCCCAGTCCTGGTCTCTACAAGATTGATATCAATTCCTCACTTGATGTCTCCAACAGTAACTGCTTAATTTTTACCCAATWATTTCTACCTGTATGAAATATTTGAACTTGGTTGGATGCTTCTTTTCATTTTTTTCCTTTTACTTATAGTCCCTCTTAATAAAATTGTTTACTGAAAAAAAGTGTAATTGAATAATAAAATAATATCTGTGTTATTTGGTACTCTTTGTAGAATTGCAGAGATGTGTCCAACCCTTTGATTATTGTTTGAACTGACCAAGAATAGATTAAACCGGATCACTAATCCTTCATTTGAAAAACCTCAGAAAACAAAGTCTGTTTCATTTTTTTAAAAAAAGATAAACTGTTAGTACAAAAGACCAAGCCGGGTGCAAACTTCATGAATCAGCAGAGCCTTTATTCAGCTTCATGAATCMGCAGAGCCTTTATTCAGCAGTGGATTCACACCTCTGAAGGACCCGCTTTCCTGGTGAAAAATGAGTCACTGGCCAAGGGGAGAGCCTGTTTTATATAGGTTACACTGAGAGGTGACTTGATTAATGAGAGTGTCAGTTTGGGCTATACGTCTGTTTTTACTGGGCCAGATGGAGGGTCTCAGGTCAGTGGTCAGTGGGCCAGATGGAGGGACAACGGTCAGTATTTATCTCTTTCCCTCTAGGGTCCTATTGTACTGTCACTGGGAAAGAATTTATTTTGGGAAGGATTACTGCTTTGGCTTCTTCCCAGAGATGGCCATTCTAGGCTTTGATGGATATATCATCCCCAGGGATTGTCTTGCTACTGTGTGATTTTTACTTCCTTTCTAGGGATTGTCTGTCTCCTCACTGGGAAAGAATGTATTGGCAAAGGATCAATGTTATCAATGATTTAACTTCTCCCTAACTCTCTGTTCCCAGGCCACACTATTTTGGAGTTAGTCATTTTCCATATCTAATATAAACTTTCTTTATAATTTAGTCCCATATTTTCTATTTTCTTATAAAATTAATTTTAAAAGCTTAAATGCACTTTATAAAATCTAAGGGCAGCAAAGTTTGAAAAGAGGCAATTTAGTTGCTTTAGTTAGCAATTTAAGCTCCATTTATTTGGATTTTGTTCCAAAAGAAGGCAACCAAGTCTGGATATTTATCTGCACTACATAGAGTTATCTTTTGTTTTTCATTATGTGATGGTGCTAAAAAAAATTATGAGAAAAATAAAATTTGACTGAAGTTGTCACAGCTGAAAGTTAAACTGGAAACCATAAGATTCACCTGTACCAATATACTAGAAAAGGAATATTCTCTACATTAGAGAAAAAGCTTATACTTTTTGGTCTGTAACAGAAAATAGTCCTTTTAGTTGAAGATCAGAAAGAAAGTTTCCTGATGATACCCTGAATTTATTACTGTAAGTTTCCCCTAAACAATCTGCTCAGGGTTAATTTTGGTTGAAGGCTAATGAAGTCAGAAATAAAATGGGCTTTGAGCTCTAGATCTTTGACTTCTTCAAACCCAATCTTATTGAACCCCTCTCTCTATCCACTTCTATACTGAATTTCTATACACAAATACACATACACACACACATATGCAATAACTTCAAGATTTAGGTTTTATGAAAGGATTGCTTAACATTGCTTGACATCAGTTAAATGGTACAGGATCCCAGTTCTTCCTTCTGCAAGCACATTTGGGGAGATGATTCCTGATTTTTAATTCCAGAGAGGTAGGGCTCATCAGGATGTACTTGTTCAATCTAGCAAGAGGAAATGTTTGATTGAATTATTCACTTATTTATATAAACACACATATTTCTCTCAAGCAAGCATTTTGCAATAATTAAGTGGTTAGCATTTTGTGACAATGTGCTATATGTCACCAACATAAATGTGGCACAGTAAGAGAAAGATATATAGGCAAATTCCCAGAATGCCATAGTGTAGAGGTACAGCCTCTGTGGGATAAATTCCAAATGGTCTTTAGCCAAAATTACTCTGAAAAATTATTATATTGGCATAATGCCCATCTTGGGGACTAACAGAATATTTCCATAAGTTTGGCACAACTGGTTTTGGTCTCTAGCATTGGGATATTTCACTCTTAATTAAGCTGAGCACTAGATGAAGGAGGAGGTTTATTTTCTGTGCTTTGTTGCATAAAGTATGTTGCTTTAAACTTTAAAATTTCACCAGTATGAGGAAGTTTTACACTCTGAGGGAAGAGCCTCTGTCTTTCTCCGAGAGTGTGAAGCTGTTCTGTTTAAGTCTTAGTCATAGAGTAGATTCAGCCAACTTCAACATCAGTGTAGAGACACAGTCAAATGTTACCAYTACCCACAGGAGGAGTGTCATGAACACTCTCCTCTGTACTCTCTGCCAGTCTCTGTGATCTTAAGGGAAGACCTAGGAGATGAACAGGGGAGGGAATCTTAGTTCCTACTTCACACATGATGGGTCTAATGTTCAGAGATGTTCATGACTTGTTCCAAATCACAATTTACAAGAAGTAGAACTGGGACTGTGCATGGGTTCKCTCTCGTCCAGCGAGGAGGTCCACAGAACAGGGTAGAAGAGAGTGTGGCTGCAGAGTCGCTAATCAAGACCAGGAAGCAGGTCTGATTTTATTGTGCAGTTACCATGTATATATACTTGGACAGTAGCTAAGCAGATTACAGGYAGCCACCAATACAATTTCTAGCGACCAATCAAGGAGCGGGCCATGGAGCAAGCACAGAGACTGCAACACGTGGCCTCATACCCAGGAATGTGCTTAACGGAGGTAGGTGGTTTGCCACTCACATGCCTAGCACAAGGGGAGTGGCCTGCCATTCTGATGCCCTTAACGTATGCCATGTATGCAGTACTCCATGCTCTTATCCCCACAGGACTGGTGATGCACTTTACATGTTGGAAATACAGTAAGGACTCATGTAGTAAATGAAAGTAGTGAGGGTGAGAGAGAGGAGATGGAGACAGGGTTGTAACAAGGGACAAGTTCATGTTGAATCCTGTGGACATTTGTGAAACTTGGGCTTTTTCTCTAAGTGAAATGGAGTATAGGAGCTTAAACCACAATCTGACTTGTGTTTCTGAAAGAGTCATGGCTGCTATTCTGGGAGAAAACTGTAGGGGGCAATGAGTGCAGAAATAATTTAGTTATGAGGGCCTGGTAGTAATGCAAGTAAGAGACAATGATCTGTCAAGTTAAGGTTRTGACTTACATATATTGAAGAAGACATTTGAACATAAAGCTTTAAAACTTTTGCTTACCAAAAGAAATATTATATAAATCAATGGGTTAGAAAAAATACAGTTCAAATGCAGATTATAGATAACAAGATTAACAAACATTATATTGTTCTGTTGGACATGAAGACAGAGAACAACCCCACGGGGATAGGATAAGGACAGAAACCCGCAAGTCACCAAAAAACAATGCAAAAGGATTACAAGTTAATGAAAAGATATTCAAATGAATAATAGAAAGGGGAATATAACTTAAAGTAACAGTGGTATTTCACTTTATACCCATCAGACTGTGCCATTTAATAAATGCCAATGTCATTTTTGCTGGTAGAAGTGCTGAGAGAAGAAAAAGGAGTTTTATACTTTGTCTGTGGCGATATGATCATTACCTTTGTAAAACCCATCTGATAGGAAACTGAAAGACATCCTGGGGGGCTGGGGAAGTGGCTCGCCTGGCATGAGTGGGGTGATGGGTTCGATCCTCAGCATGACATAAAAAAATTAAAATAAAGATGTTGTGTCCACCGAAAACTAAAAAATAAATATTAAAAAATTCTCTCTCTCTCTCTCTCAAAAGCAAACAAAAAAAGACATCCTGGGAACTTATCCCACTGAAATAAAAGAACTAGGATATCACAATGTGTGTACAATGATGATTATCTGAGCATTGTTTTTGGTGTAAACTAGAAAAAGAGTGAATCCATTAATATGGACTGGGAGGGCAAGTTATGCTATATCCACAGCTTAGAAGATGGGAGATATTTCAATGAAGTGTTTTTAARTAACCAAAGCATTAGACAGAAAAAGTATGCACTTTATAATTTAAATGCAAAGTCCCAATAAATGCATTTGATTATACAAACTACTAGGAAAATGTGGGAATGTGTGTCTTAGGTTAAATACAAGAATGACTGGGGGATACAAAGGGAGCTGACAAGGGAAAGGCAGTCCTAAGAAAAAGGAAAAGAAGGTGATTTGTCATAAGACAGATATTCAGCATTATGTATTATATAGTTATTATATACTCGTTATATGTCAACATAAAATTATATGTGTGGGAAGATGTGTATGCACCTGGAATAATTATGAGAGGTATTTTTAAATGCCATTAGCTTGGTTAGCAATTATATCAAAGCATAAGAAAAAAATAGAGGGGAGTGGAAAGTTTTCTACCTCATCTACCCTGGGGATTGTGCAATCCCTGGTGTAAAAATAGAGTTGAATATCACCTTCAAAGACACTGGGGTAAAAGCATCTTCACTGTATAAACAAGTTGTTAAATCCACCTTTCCTAAAGGATTTGAATTATGGAGGGGCTCCTGGGAAAGCCTCAGTATCAAATCCCAAAGACCTTTGCTCAAAATAAAATAATTTACACAATACTACCTGTTATTATGTTGAAGAAAAAATTGTGCACTTACGATATTTTGTAGTCTAATAATTACCAGTGGGAAAAATATAATAAAAAATCATGATCTTCGTCTGACTAACTTTCAGAGCAAGTCAAAGATAGATTCATAAATGCCCTGAACCTTTCCACACAGGAGGAAGAGAAAGGCTTTTAGTTCAAATCTATTACCTCTGCAGGGGAGCCATTTCTGTTTGGAAAATAGTATTGGAGGGGAGACCACAAGGACAGTTTGGTTGCCCTAGAAGGTGAGCATTGAATCTTCTGTTTTTACAGCCTTCCACGGCTGGCTTCCTCCCTTCCCTCCCTACCTATCTTCCCTCCTTCCTTCGTTTTTTCCTTTATCTTCACTTTCTTTATCATCTTTCCTTTTTTCAGTCCTGGAGATTGAACCCAGGGGCACTCTACCACTGAACGTTTTATTTTTATTTTGGCCCCTTTTTATTTTTATTTTGAGACAGGGTGTCACTGAGTTGCCTTAGTGACACTAAGGCTGGCTTTAAGCTTGCTGTCCTCCTGACTAAGCCTCCTAAATGGCTGGGATTAAAGGCATGGGCTGCTGGGACTGGCTTTTCCATGGCAGTTTCTGCTTTTCTTAGTTCTGCTCTGAGGTGCCGGTGATGAAAGTGTCTGAGTGGGAGTAAAGTAGAGATCACAAATGGTGCTGAGATGACAGTGTTTGCCATGCCTCCAACCTTTCTGCCTCATAGAGATTTTCTTACGAAGGAGACCCAGGTTCCATGACAGACTTACTGATTTTGTTGCTGTGCATGCTCAGGAACCCTTACAAGCGGCTGTGAGTCTCTGTTCCCCTAACTCTGCCATAGATGTAGTGTGCACGGTCTCCAACCTACATAGTATTCCACTTTCTCTCAAATAGCTGAACCTCAGCAGAGTCTGGACTTCCTGGCTGCAGAAGGAACGGGCTTGGCATTGCATTGGCAAATCTGGGTCTACATCAAATGAGACTCTGCTCTCCTATCTTTCAGAACCTGCTGGAAGAGAATGGACATTGGAAACAGTTCCTTGGTCACTGAGTTTATCCTGGTGGGTTTAACAGAATATTCAGGGATCCAGCTGCCCCTTTTCTTTATCTTCTTGGGAATCTATGTGGTCACAGTGGCAGGAAACCTGGGCTTGTTTASTCTAATTGGACTGAATTCTCACCTTCACACTCCCATGTACTACTTCCTCTTCAATCTATCCTGTATTGATCTCTGTTACTCTTCTGTCATTACCCCAAAGCTGTTGGTAAACTTCGTGTCAGAAAGGAACACCATCTCCTATGCAGGATGCATGACTCAGCTCTTTTTCTACTGCTTCTTCGTCAGTGCAGAGTGCTATGTGTTGACGGCCATGGCCTATGATSGCTACGTGGCCATCTGTAAACCCCTTCTGTACATGGTTACCATGTCCCCTCAGTTCTGCACTCAACTGGCTGTGGTCATATATGTGGGAGCCTTCATAGGTGCTTGGGCCCACACAGGGTGCATGCTGAGGTTGACCTTCTGTAAGGCCAACACCATCAACCACTATATGTGTGAGATCTTTCCCCTCCTGGAGCTCTCCTGCACCAGCACTCACATCAATGAACTGGTGGTGTTTATTGTTGTGGGCTTTGATGTTGCTGTGCCCACTGTCACCATCGCTGTCTCTTACACATTCATCCTCACCAGCATTCTTCGCATTCGTTCCACTGAAGGAAGATCCAAGGCCTTCAGCACTTGTAGTTCTCATATAATTGTGGTGTCTGTTTTCTTTGGGTCAGGGGCGTTCATGTACCTCCATCCTTCTTCTCTTTTGTCCATGGACCAGGGGAAGGTGTCTACCGTGTTCTACACCATTGTGGTACCCATGCTCAATCCTCTCATCTACAGCTTCAGGAACAAGGAGGTAAAGGTTGCCGTGAAAAAAACCTTGAGCAGGAAAATATTTTCTTGAGCTCTGAGCAGTATTACTTACTATAGGAGAAACCAGATTTCCCTTTAAACCATCCCTCTTTCTAAGATAGACACAAGGACTTTGAGTGATGGCAGTACTTATGAAAAACAAGTCAGGTGAGAACCTACAGGGCAGGCTTTTCTCAGGTCTGCTCCTAAGAGAAGAGAGACACAGCACCCACATGGGAGTGTTAGGCTGTTTCCCTCATCAAGAAGAGAGAGTTGGTTTTATTCAGGTCAAAGGGATATTCTTGGGAGAAGGGGGACTAAGTTATGTTAATTAGCTTTAGATACATTTTAAGGATCTTTTTTTTTTCCTTGAGGGCACTTGAACTCAGGAAGTTTCACTGACCAAGTTTGGTCATTCTGGATCCAAATGTTGGCTTTTYGTATGGGTGCTGCATTCTGTAGCAACATCTCTATCTTGTGATTAGGATGAGTTGTACCTGGGAAGAGAACACAGGGTGGGAAATGGAAGAGAACACRAACCTGGGCAAGGAGCTCTTGAAGACCTAGGAATGTTCCCTTTTGATGTCTCCTCAATAATTTTTATCCTTTGTGTAGTTTGTCCTGGGACAGTCATGGCAAGAGTTTCCTGGCACTAAAGATGCACCTGGACTCTGAAGCCAATAAGGTTGTTTGAGGGGGATGGGTAAGTCACTTAGCAGCAAGCTTTTAATACTAACAGGCTACAAGTTAAGGCGGGAGAGCAAAGAAAACACAGATCCTATCCTTTAGGCCCAGGAGGCACTGGACCTTTGCCCCTATGGTGGTCACTCTCTCACTCCCACATAACCCTAGAGCTTTTTCATATCCAAAGAAATGAAGCATAACCGAAATAGCATTGGATTTGGAATCAGAAAGCCTGGATTGAAACCTCTGAAATATAAGGACATCATTTTATTTCATAGGATTATTAGAAAAAAAAAGTTAATGCGATTTAATATGTAGCTCAACACTGGGACCTTATTCTCTCTTTATCTCCTTTTCTTCTTCCTTTTCTTACGCTTGCTCTGTCTTTTCCCCTACTGTTTCCCACTTATATTTTAGAGATAATTTCCATGCATTTTTCAAATAGGTTTACTAATTTATTGCAGATTCAAATATTCTGATTATATAAAGAATCCCTTCCTAGATAACCTCAGAATTAACATATGAACTTCAGATTATGCATTTAATTGCCTCATATTTGCATTTGAATTCTCCATATGCACCTGAACTCAAAACATCAAAATTAACCTTTATCACAGCAGCAGCCCCAATATTGCCTAGCTCCCTGCTTTTCCCACTATCATCATCACAGTGAAGGCATCATCTCCTACCTAATTATTTAGACCCCAGGTGGGTGTCACCTCCATCCTTCTCATGCTACTTATCACTGCTCACACCCTTTTGCCCAGCACTTGGTGCTACTGTTACAGGAACTCCTATCTCTTGAGCAGTTTCCAGATATTTCCAGATGTGATCACTAAACTCCCATGAGCCTGTCTTCCYTATATGAGCAAAGCCAGATCCAATTGCAACTCCCTGTACTTGCCCAGATATAGTCATTCTTGTTCTATTAAACACTTTTCCACTACTGTCCCCTTGGCCTGAAACCCTTTCTTAATCATTTTTGCCTAGCTCATTTTATCCATCCTCCAGGAATGAGTTTACCCACAACCTATGGAGAGTCTTTCCTGTATAGAAATACAGGTTAGAGGATGTTAGGGTATCTTCTCACAGCCCTCTATATGTATACACTAGGATGCAGTTATGCTAGCAAAATTCCTTTTTCTGTTGAATTTGTTCCCTACTAGTCTATGGGCAGAATGTATCCCATTCACTATTTTATCTCTATAWCCTAGCAGGGTATCAAATCCCTGACAAAACAAGCAGTTAATACATATTACATTTATAATTTGATTCAATTTATTCAATTATAAGTGAAATCTAAGAAATTGATTTTCAGGAGGATGTTCATTTAGCAAAGGSACTCTTGGCTTCTCAAAAATAGTAAGCAAGTCACTGAGAATTCATGGAGTGTGAATGAAGAGAGGAATAGAGTCAGGAAGCTGAAGGTAGAACTGTATCTCTGTGCAACTTAAATTCCATTCATACGCTAATAATACAACTCAATAAGAAATTAATTTGGGACTTTTTCATGATGCAATGTTTGGTTTTCCTAAATTACTTAAATGATTTTGCATGTTTGTGTCATATTGGTTGGAAGTAAATGTTTTCTAATTACTGGTTATAGTTAATAAAAGTTTATTTTATATCCATTTTGTGCAATGACAAAATGTAACTATAAAATGTAAATTTAATTATTTAACCATGTATTTGGATTGCCTCTGTCTCCTATTCTCTCATACACACACACCCACACACGTCTCAACATTTTCTCAGCATGTCACACCTAATAATTATGTCTCTAAGAGAATTTTCTATTTTGTAAGAAAAACATATTTGATAAAAGTAAAAATAAAAAATTATATAAGCAACATATCATAAATAAAATACATAGCTATTATGCATTCCCCAGCCACTTCAGGTATAAACACTGTGTTCTAATATCTAAAATAAGCTCAATGCACAATAGACATCAGTCAGTGTTCAATGGAGTATATACTAAAGCACTTAAAGCAACTTCATGATATTATAACTAGTGTTTGGTATGATAACACACCGGTACTTTATTTCAGAGCAACATTAGCCCTTTTTGCATGCTCATTCTAAATGCTAAACTTTACATTTCATTTTCCAGTCAATAGCAAACTGAAAAAAGGGGGTGGGGAATAAGGGAATCATGGCAGGACGAACATTATTTTTTATAGTGGGGAAAAATGCTGTATAATCTGAACCCAAAGTCCATCTGCAGCCTAATTATCTGTGTGTGGACATGGATATTTATTTTATTTCTCTCAGTTGCATTATTATCAGCATTTATAGCATGAATTCYATAGCATCTCAGCTATATTTCTCAATAAAAATGTTAAATTACAACTCATTTTAGCCTATTAGTGTCTTATGATCCAAGTAAMTGTGAGCTTCTTTTCTGTTTTTGGTGCATTGCCAAAAAAAAAGGAATATATTAGTTCTGAAAATTAAGGAACAGACTCTCATATCTTATTTAACATGAGAGCGAAGGCAAACATAACCAACATGGTTTTGGCACCATTATGAAAACACAAATAACTGGGTGGAAACAGATCTCAAACAGATCAGCAAGCTTTTCTTTATTCCACAGCAGGGTCAATCAATCAGGCACTAAAAGGGCTCATTTTCTGGGYATGAAATGGCCGTTGGGTTATAGAAGGAGTCTGTTTTATAGTTTACAATGAGTGTGAATTAATCATTGGAGACTGTGGACATGTAGTTTGGACAGTCCGGGACCTAGTTGTGTAGGTTAAAATTTTAACTCAGGAAGGCAGTTGTAAAAAGTTTGAAACTCATTGTCACCAAGGAAAGCTCAGAACTCYGTGTTCACTTCTTATCCACTTTCTCTGGTACCCACTGTGACCCAGAGCCTCACTATTTGCTTTTCTCTTTCCAGGACTCATCAGCAATGCGGAAGGGTAAAAGTCCAGGGCTCAGTATTTCAGTATCTACCTCTTGCCTTCAGGACCCATTGTTCCTGGAAAAGCATTTACTGGGAGAGGTTTAAAGTTTGGCTAGTTCCCTTCCCTCCTCCTGAGCCATACTGTCTTTCTGTGTCTCCTGGGGGCTGTCTTGTAGGAATATTATTTTTCATAACCCTTCAGAAAGCGCTTCACATAGACGCCTCTTGAAGATACAGTGTTTTTCCTGCTTCTCTGGCTTTTGCCCAACCACAGTAGTACCATTYAAACATCAAAAGAGAGACAGAGGAAGAATTTAGGAAAGAAAATAATTTCAAAAGAGATACATGATTATTATATGTAATAATCAAATCAGCATAATTGGCACATCTATAACATSAGATGACTGATCACTAATATGTGAAAATATTCAGAACCTTCTCTTCTAGGTATTTTGAAAATTAAAAATAAAACAACTAAAAATCTGATCAAAAGAGATTGTTCATTGGAAGTAAAAAATAGAGTAGTTCTTGAACTCATTTCTTTTGAGAACTAGAATTAGCAATTTTACGATCTGAGTATAATTCCTTTGAGATGAAATCCCTTTGGAAGTGGTGATTGAAAATGAATT